ACAGTCTCCACAAACGCCGTCCTCCACGCTCTTCTCAACGCTGCAGAGCACATCAAGACCACATCATCGCTCTGCAGGAAGCGAAGTCCAGGAAGAAGGACGTGCGACAGATGAGTGATGGGGCCTCATCATTCGTGGTGAAAAGTTGCCATGACGAAACGGCGTTGGCTTTGTTGTCCACCCATCTATCGTCCAACTTCGATTTGCATGAGATCCTATCACCTCGACTAGCCATCCTACGACTACGATCTCCACGTCAGAGGACCATCAGCATCATAAATTGCTACTCGCCAACATCAGCAGCTGACGAATCAGTACTAGATGCTTTCTAGAAAGACGTGGTGGAGGTTGTGCGCAACGAAAAGTCCTTCTACAAGTATGTTGTGGGCGACTTCAACGCGAAAATCGAGATGCCATTAGAAAAGGATTATAGGATCGGGAAGTTTGGATATGGGCTCCGGAACGAAGACGGCAACCGCCTCGTTCGGCTTCTCTCTGCCGCACGACTTTTCCATCTTCATGAAGAAAGAACATCACCGGTGGACATGAGAATCGCCCAGCGGAACGATTCATGCGGAGATCGACCACATTCTCAGCAACCAAAGGTGGAGCTTACTCGATGTCTCAGTAGTTCCATCCTTCTGCAGTGGTTCCGGTCATCGCATCCCTTTGAGCAAAGATACGATTCAATCGAAAGCTGGAAAAGAAAGCCTGTCACAGTGCCGCAAGGAGGAAGAATGTCGTTTATGACGGTAACAGGCTGGAGGAGTTCATATCAAGTTGTGACTGGCCCATCGAGGAGGACACAGCGTACGACTACGACCGGCTTTTGAAAGGATTGCAAGCCTGCGGAGAGTGCGCCTCAGCGACTTCAGAGAAGAACTTGGAACGCATTTCGGAAACCACCAAGGGACTGCTCGAAAGAAGAAAATTGCCGGATCCAATGCAACCCATCTCGATCGACTGATGCCAACGCTAGTTGCAAGATAGCTTTGCAGGAGGATCTCAGGAAGTACAGGCAAGCCAAGATACTGGAAGCAGCCCAGGGAAGACGAAGCATCAAAAAGTGCCGAAGTGACCTCTGTGAATATCACGTACCACAGGCTGCACTATTGAACGAAGACGGGACCCCAACTTCTTCCCGGTACAAGATGAAATCTAGGACGAAGAACTTCTACACCAACCTCTTCCGCTCATCAACACCCGTGCCGATGCCCGTTGTTCCCACTTAGAAGCACCACCACAAATTCTACCCGCTGAAGTGCGCACGGCGATTCAGACCATGAAGACGTCCACGGCTCCAGGACCAGATCATCTTTTCGTCGAACTTCTACGGGCCGGAGGACATCGTCTACACGAATTTTTAGCGTCGCATTTAACATCTCACCTTTTAAAGGAGAAGATTCCCGACCAGTGGAAAACGTCAAGAACCACCCTTTTCTTCAAAAAGAGTGAACGGGAGGATCTTCGGAACTACCGTCCAATATGCCTGCTGAGGTGCTGTACAAGCTTTCGAAGATTATCCTCGCTCGCATATCTGGGACACTCGATGAAACCAACCCCAAAAACAAGCTGGATTCCGCAAAGGATTCAGCTACAGGGACCACATCCAAACGGTTTGGAGGGTCTTAGAAGTCCTGCCGGCAATACTGACTGCCTCTCATCCTAAGCTTCGACGACTACGAGAAAGCCTTTGCGTCGAAACCAACGCCATCCTGTGGCACTTCGCTCATAGAGGTTGGCGGACAAGCTTTCTACTAATTCTGGTCTTTGTTGCAAGGTCTTGCTGTAGAGATATGATGAGCTAGCTAAAATTAAACCACGAAAGTTCGTCAATTCGCCTGCATTCGCGTATCTTTCAGAAGACTTACCTACTTGCCTTTACAGGTTAAAGTCACTGAGAACCGTGCAGTTGACGCTCATGTTTCAGCAATCTATAAGGCATACCCACCACCGGTCGTTACCCCAAAGGATGAGGCAGTGCTTGGCGCTGCATCGGAGGAGTTTGCAATCGAGCGCAAAAGCTAACCATGTGTAGACTCATGATGCTAATTCATCCCATGGTACCTTCTATTCCCATATTAAGCATTGGGTTCCGTGCTTTAATCGACTATGAAACACTTCAGATGAGTGCGCCGTTCGAGTGAAGTGTGCTCAAGAATAAACGGCATGCATTTTTTGCTCATGCATATGAAGACTATCAATTCTGAGAGTAGAAGACTTGAGGAGTCTTTGCACAAGTATGATTGGGAAAATGTTATTCTTTTTTAGCCTATTTAATTGGTTTATTACTAGAGATTGGGGGAGAAACCTGTACGTTATTGCAAACGACCCAAGTCTTCTGATCTCAAAACTGACGACATAATCAGATCGTCGAAGGCAAACGCGGTCACACAGAGCCATATCATCTGATCAGTTCCCGGTTGGTGCTGATTATATCGCGTGAAACATGGAAAATAAGGTATACCAACATGCAGGCAGGTACAAAACTCCAACATATCAAAAAGAAACTTTCGGAGAGAGCGATGTCTAGCCAGATCCAACAGAAAACGTTTTCGCGCTCGGGCGCTAATATCGCTGTTTGCGTCGTGCGCTTGCAGCCTCATCCCGTGGGTACCCACTACCGATGGTAGTTGGTATGCTTTATATAGCAGTTGCCGAGTTACGAGCTTATGAGATCACGTCCTCTTGAACATTGCCTAAAACGAAAAGATTGAATACTTTGTCGAAAAATTTTGTGGGTGGTTGTATATATGCCGCTTGCGAATTTTATGTTCACTCTGCTCAAGGGATCCTAGTGTAGTGAAAATGGTAGTTGTGTGGGCCTTAGCTACCTAGTTGGGTATCAAAACAGTTTCGTGGCTATAGCTTAGATCAGGGCCAGGCGCAGATCGTATGGAAGTAGGCTGGGCTTCGTTTTCGGGGCGAAAAAGCAAACGGAATATCGTTTTTCGGAGTCGGGGCCGAGCACCAAAGATAAGCGTCATTTAGTCGAACACAGCTATTCAGTTAGGTTATTACAGGAGTGACGTGCTCCATTGGGTTTTTCAAAAGTGCGCGCAATTTGAAAGCAAGGCTAAAATGAATAAATTGCTTGCTTACAGCGTAAACACAAGTTTTTCACACCAACTTTGTACTACATGTATAAAATATTATTTGGGGACGTATGTAAAAAGTTTTGAAAACTTATATGAAATAATACCTTTTCCAGAATTCGCCCGTTTTCTTACAGTTACCATACAATCTCAGATCGTATGGAGCATGCATTTCTGTTTTCATGTAAGTTTCCGATTTTTTTCATCAAGGACGGGATGCCCCGGTCAGAAATCTATCCTTGGGCATAAGGCCATTATCATATCTCCCTCTTTGTGCCTTTTTTTGCCCTTTTTTTTCCGAAAATAAACTTGTTAGATATCGCCCCCACCGCAGTTTTTCCGCGACTTCTCCCTTTAAATGTTATTGCCAGATTCCGTTTTAACTGCGAAATTTTTGTGATTTTGTTTATTTTTTCAGAATATTTTTATTTATTCATTACCTCATTACTCATGAAGCAGATCTGTCCGCATTCATATTGAATGAAGAGCGTTGAACATTCATTTCAATTATAGTCTCTACTGATAGAAGTCGACGACGCACCAGCAGACGACGTGATGAAAACATTTGTTCGATAAGGCGAGTGAGAGGGCTGCAAAGCCACCTACTTTTCTTTTTGATACACAAGTAGATACATCTGTGTAGTAGTCCCATGGATAAGTTTTTATGGAATTTGCGGTTTTTCAGTTACTTATCTCACAACACTTCACTTCAAGTAGAACACTGTGTATTGTCTTTGTCTTACAAACAATTTGCATCGATCACCCCATGGCAGATACCCCAAAATCCAGCATGTAGGTCCGACGATTCGGTCCGCGTACAGAACGAAGTAGTTAGGGTGGGAAAAACGGACTTTTTTATTAGCGGAGTTATCTGGATGTAAACTGCTCGTTCTTTCATGGAAGAAAACCGGAGTTGCTTCCTAGGACGTACATATAGGTCGTTGATTGCTTTATGCTGCACGCTTTCAAGAAATAGCTTTCTTAATCCGCGCTTGTCTTTCATGACATTAGATATGTTGCCTTTTCTGGCAACACGTTGGACGTCATTGTTAGACAATCGATTACTCCCAACTCTTTGTGTTTTATTTCAGAGCAAAGAAACTCACCTCTAACGTCAATGCACCGACCTTCAAACCACGTAGTGCTCAAACTCATATTCGAGCTCAACAAGTCCTCAGATAATCGCAGGGGGCAGCTGGCCACCGCCGGTCCGTAGATAGCTTCGCTGAGAAAAAGTACCTCAAACTTGGGTAATCAATACGCGCTGACACCCCTGCCATATGGAGTGTTACTTCTGCTCGGCGTATGCCCGAAACTGCGTAATAAGAGTCAGAGCGCTTGCTGAAAATTTGGCCAGCGCTCGCTGAAAGAAATTATTCGACGAGCGCCTGCAGAAAATTCAGCATTGCTACTCGCTGGCATAATATGCGACAGTAAAGGAAGTACCGCCCGCTGAAGGTTTGGCCACTCCCCAAAATTCTGCTGACCGCCTGCAGAAAAGCGCGAGTTTGCGGTCCGCCTGCTCCCGACGACTAAGTCGGCCTCCCCCCCTCCGGGTGGATCACCCCGGACAATGATGGGTGCAGTTTCTGTGGTACCTGCCGGAATACCTAATCAGGTTGTTCACTATAGCCGTCTGTGGTAGTAATACTTCTAATACTTTTTACAAGAATGTGGGGGAAAATAAAGGGTTCAACTTTATTACAGAAATGTCAAGCATTTCAGACTGCCAAGCCACCACCTGGGATGCTTCCTAACGCATGGTCGCATGGTTCGGAGGCAAGTGTCACAAATTCGCAAAATTCTTCAGAAAGAGGGTAGTAATGCAAGTTTGTCGTAATTCCTAGTATAGAATGTTCTGTACAGCGGACGGTCCAATATGGTGACCATTTTGATCAATATACGATGATTCTCTTCGACCCGCTGATATGGATATGTCCAGCGGTATCAGCCGGCTATATGCCGACAGAAGATGATAAGCCAATCAACACCGTAAGTCATCTCATACACAATTTTACCAGCCAGAAGTATCATTTCAGAAAGTAAAATGTGAAGACTCCTGCACCAGAGACTATAGCCAAGGACCCCTTGGCTACATCAACCGCACTTTCGCCTGCACTATACTTTCTCCTGTCTGTGGTAAGTTCAGAAATTACAGGGTGTGGAAAAAGTACTGTCCCTCAAAATAAAGTTTAAAAAATCGGCGTAATTCACAGGTTTTTCTGGTAGATTTGACATAATTCTCATGATGGGATACATTCTATCATTTTGCAAAAACTGGCTTCAAAATTCTACAATTTTACCCGGCGGTGGATCCCTTTTCGCAGCGCATCTCATATCAAATCTTGACTTTCCTTTCCAAATCTGAAGAAGTGTAAGGATTTTTGAGAATTTTTTTGTTTGTCACGCGAACTTGAGAAACCCTCTACTGCTTAAGGAATTTGGTAGTGGACCACGAAATATTCTGAAAGTCCAGTCAGCACTTGCACTAGCAGAAAAGCTGTGAATTTTTCTATCGAGAAAGTGGCTGCGGCGCAGCAGGGTGCGATCAGAAAACATGGCACAGAGACTAGGTATAATCGTTTATCGCTCCAAAATCGTGATGCAGACAAAGTCCGATGCTTTGTCATTGTTCCTCTTATTTTTGTTGGAATCTGAAATTTTGAATTTATGCACTTCATAATAGCTCAATTTGAACCTTAAGTCAATGCTGGTAGTATAGTTACGGTCCAAAATCACGCTTGTATGCTATCGGCGCATCATTAGTATTCTTGCGCGCTGTTATCACTCGTTCAAACGGACAGAAGGGAACAGTTTCAAATCAAACTTATCTTCATCTAATCTCAAGCAACTCGCTTACGTGTGGAATTCAAAAAACTACAGATTTACTTTATGTCTGAGGCATTTCAGGAGCCAAGTTGGAGGGACAGTACTTTTTCCGCACCCTATAGAATTTTTTTAATAAACGCATATATTTTAGATTCTGAAAATATGGAATACTGTAGCCAGCGCAGGGGACCACCGATCCAACACGTGAGCCGCTCTTAACGACTGCCACCGGGGGCCGTAGTGTTTGGTACGCAAACGACCAGCGTTTACCCTATGTTGACCGGGCGGGGCGTTCTGCTCCTACGCCTGAGGATAACCACCTCAACTTCTTTACGGAGTTTATCCCGTCTTTTTATGAAAAACCTTCTTATTTGTAGTGATGTATGTTGATTTTTCGCATTTTCCTAATTTTTGTATCTTGATTTCGTTGTTAAAAACCTTTGAAAAGTCTTGCCTTTGAAGCATAATGGAATGAATAATGATTGTTTGTTTTAAATTCCTCGAATTTAACCAGAAATTTCATTCGCTGACAGTCAGAGTGTGGGGGGGGGGGTACAGCAGAGGCCAAAGGGGACTTCGTAAAATTTCTGAAAATCAGGGGACTTCGTTCTATGAACTAATTTGTTATGGTTATAATATGTAAGAGTTCGTAAAAAGACGTACAGAGCGTTCCTATAACTTAATCTTCCACACCAAGATTTGAATGATCATGTTGTCGCACTTTTTGTTTGTAAACAATTAGTCGTGGGATTGAAATGTCTTTAGTTCAGCATTATTTTTGTTATTAAAGGCACCGTCCACCCTAAGTTGAGGGTGTTGAGCTTTTGGCAGCATATGATAGTAGGGCCTCCTATCAATCCAGTGCCCAAGTCGCGGCGCAAAATGCTGCTTCGCAAGCGAGAAATCGCTTCGGAATAACGGAGATGCACGAGGACCCCCATCCATGCCCGCCCATTTGTGCGCGCCCATCCAATCACCGTTCCGGAAAGCCGGCCTGTGGGTTCTTCGAAACGGGGATTGTCGGGATTTTCGCGCATTTTCGACTTCATGTTCGGAATCAGGGACATGAGAAGGCCCTGGAACGACAAAACGTAGAGGTCGAAAATCTGGGTGGACGGTGCCTTTAACAACATCATAAAACCATTAACAAAAGTGCGCACACATCATCCTAAGGTGGCAACTAATAAAGCTTTCAATGCAAACAGTATAAAATTGGGATATGCATGCCTAAATTTGGCTGACAGTAGAGAAGGCAGCGCCCGGGCAAATTGGGACTTTTTGGCTGCTAACATAATCAAGTACTGAAGCCTTAATTCAAAACCATTGCGCAAGCCAGGCTTTCGCTGACTCTAAAAGAAAGCAGGCAAGTAAACTCTTGAAAACAATAATTAATCTTTTCGAAATCTCCTCAGGCTTTGACGAATTTTCACGTGGCAACACGATCGAACACATACTGTTTACCTGTTTATGCTTGCTTTCGACAAGGATAGCGCCAGGGGATCTCGTCCAAGGTTCTCACAAGACAGCAGCAAAAAGACGATTTTTTGAGGAATTCACACTTTTCGAGTGCCATGTTTGGAATCAGCACCATGAAAGGCCTGGCCTTGAAAAAATGGAAGTCGAGAATCTGCCTGGACGCTGCCTTTAACTTATCATTGATCGCTGACCGCACGGACTGCTCAAACTCCGCGAACTACGCGCGGCGCGACTGGACTGTCGCGAGCACGACTTGTACAACGGCGAATTTGTACTGGGGCAAGCCTTTTACCTCGCGGCGCGTGCTCCGCAGTAATGTTAAGTCCGTCTGGTCAACGAGTCAACTATACCTTCATAAAAACTAGCTGCAAAAATATTTTTGGGGTTTTTAAGTGCCATTTTCAAGTCATTGCTATGGAAAGCAATAAAGCAGAGAAAGAGAACCGTCGCGATTCTGCAGAGATGCTTATGAAGGCGCTCTTATATCATGAGACATACAGGCTTTGTTGAAATTAGTTGCTCGCGCATTCTCAGGTGACAAAATTTGAAAACTTTGCAAGTTTGGGTATGGAACTAAGTTGACATGCTAAACACAGATATAGTACTCATTCTATGAAATGAGATGTATTTACTGGGTAACGAGCAAGTGTTTTTTTGCCACGCGCAAATTCGCGGTCCGAAACTTGCAGAACACCGACATGTAGGAGCAGTTATGCGAATAGCTGTGGACCTCCTCGCTTAGAAAGTTTTCGGCCAAGTTTTTTCAACAATGGGCATGATTGTGTTGCAGTAACAAAAATTGAATAAGAATGTGCTTGATAGGGCGGTTGTAAGCTCGTTGCTTGCTACAGAGTTGTAGGGTTGGGGACTAATCTTCGACCGCTCGCGTCCCTTGAAGATTTGTCTTCTTAATCGCTCGCGCCTTTGATATCAGACTCTCTGTCTGATCCAGTAAGGAAAAAGGTTCATAAATTTAGATCTTTTGAGATTCCCCTCTGAACTATCTATAGCACCACTATCAGCACTATTAAAAAGGATGATGTGATCTCAAAACCAATCAGGATGATGTAATCTCAAAACCATTTTTTGCCTGAATCAGTTGTCACCATCTCAAACTCTCACACGAAAAAAATGGGCATTTGGTTATGAGTTGAGTTATCCGTTTGTTTCTGTATAGAATTTGAATCATGATCGAAGACGCACGGTCACAATGAAAATTTTTGCGCGCCATTGTTTTTTATCGGAATTTAGTGCAGCACTTTAGACTTTCTTGTACTTCCCCATGCTGCGAGAGTTGAGTGTAATAGGCTATTTTTTGATGAACAGGACTCTAATTCGCAGTATATACATACAGGGTGTCCCAAAAAAATGTGCCTACTGTTTGATTGTTAATAACTCTGTTGTAACGAAGTCTTTCGAAAAGCTTTAGGTACCATTTTGTAGAGCGAGGTTAAACTTAGATTTACTGTACGAAAAGAATCATCGATCGCTCTTCATTACTGTAGGATTATGGTAAGAGCTTCCAGCATATGGAACCATTGTGAAATATACCACCCAATGAAATTTTTTCCAAAAAATCTGAAAAATTGTGTACTAAGGTTTTCGCGCATTCTAATTCCAGCTAACAACTTTTTACAAGTATTTTCAGCTTTTTTGACGGTGTAATTACATTTGTGACAAATGCTGGAAATTGACTGATAACGAATTACAGGGGATAACTTTGGAAAGAAGCACCACAGTAAAATGGGAATATCAAATTCGGAAACAGCGGCTCCCATTACCGTAGTATAAGGATTTTTGGCTTGTTTGGTCTTGTTCCGAGGCAGACTATAGCCTCCAGCGGCCTAAAATCCTTGTCGAAGTTCGTACCGTAATTATACAGTAATGAAGAGCGATCGATGATTCGCTTTATACAGCAAATCTAAGTTTAACCTCGCTCTACAAAACGGTACCTGAAGCTTCTCGAAACACTTCATTATAAGAGAGTTATTTACAATCAAACAGTAGGCACATTTTTTTGGGACATTCTGTATATCCCTTGCATCATCATCTCATGTTTCGCCATCCAAGCAGGCGTTTGGGTGAGAAAAAGTTAGAGTAAGCAGCTACTAGTGCGTCAATGCGATCTCGTTACAAAACTTCATTCTTTACCGTCAACAGTTCAAGTTAAGTGCTTGATTATGGCATTCAGAATGACAAAATGAAGGCCTCCAAATATTGAGGCGTTCGGTCAAGAGCTGCAATTAGTTGATTCACAGCAGCTATTCATACTGTCAGAAAATTAATTAGCTGATAAAACTCCTAGAAACGTCTGTTCTCGTTTGATTGCTCAATGATTAATGTTGAGATGTTTTTGCTAGAGAACACTGATACTACCCAATCCTTGTATGGTTTGACAAAATAAAGAGTTAGCAATGGGCTTGTAATCGGAACGAGCCCTATGAGCATGTAAGCATAGTGAGACATCGGATAGTTTGATGTTATTAAACCACCGAGCAAATAAAGCACCAAGCTAAGAATGGAGCATAGTGGTAGGCACGTCTGATAGGTGATTGCCTGAACGTCGTTTATAAATGCCTGTGTAGCAACTGCTGAAACTACCTTGACGAGTTGAGAGTGCATGCGTTTAGTTCTCTCTGAATACGTTGCTGCTTTTCGGAGTGTCGTAACAATTTTTCTTCTAATTATCAAAATGGCGGTGTAGATAGGAACTACAGAAAGGATTAAGTGCAGCACGAAAAGCAGATATCTCCAATCATGCAAATTCAAAAAGCCGCTGGCACATTTATCGAATACGTTACGACCGATTAGTAGACTCAACTTTTCTTGAACGGCGTACCCATTATCCCCAGCGGATAGTGTTGCGATCTGAAGTGGAGGACTAAATAAGTGATGCAATTATTTATGAAAGCGATCTAGTGCGGTTTTTGTTTCCAAACCAGACCTTCAGCTTATGCATTAGTAATGCTGTAATAAAAGTTCAAGCAGAGATGAATGTTCGTTTACTTTGGTGAGAATAATGTAAAATCTATGGTAAACGTTATCGGAAACCAGTGACTACTTGTTTTGATCAAAAACATTTACTATAACTCACGAGCTGGACGAGGGATGGTATATAGCTAAGCAGAATAATAGCGACAATCGTACGAACTCGTGGTGGCGGCTTCAGTAGTATATAGTACCGATAAGAAAATGAAAGCAGTAGACCATAAATGCTGTGTGTGTAACCATGCAGCCAGACGTAGGCTCTAGAATTTATAAACTAGAAACTGCAAACAGTAAGGGTTCCCGCTCAGGGCCCAGTACGGCATTAGCAAATGGACATCGGTAAGACGACCTCGCCTTTGTTACTATCGACTTTCACGACTTCTCACTCAACGCATGGCGTCGTTGTTATTCCGGATCCTAGCAAAGAGGAGAAGAGAAGTTTGGGAACCAAAATGTTACTAACTACTGAAGTTCAATTGTAGCACTATGCACATTACTCCGCACTATGCTCATCCGCCATGTCCTTTTACACGTTATATCGTTATGTATGCCCTGTAACCGAGATATTTGGGTCCGTCGTGATGGTCGCAACGTTCAAAACATCGCACGTACCCACGGTGTCGTTTTGGCCGCGATTCGTCCGTTGGCTTAAGGCCTAAGGCATACCTCAAGCGATTTCAGTCGCTGCGCGATTTGGCACTGCAGCGACTCTTCACAAATGAGAGTAAAGGCGCTTTCCTGCGGCACGACAACCTACAAAAGCTAAGAGCCTATGCCTAATAGGGCCGCGCACGATAAATATGTAGAGAATGGCAGGTTTCCAAGTCGCGTGGATGTAGCGATTTGACGGAATCACGGGAGGTATGTCTTAGGCCTAAGAGATAGCGGTGAAATAGCGCGGTCTCTGACTGCAGAACGTTCTCGTTCTCATACGCAAAGGACGAGCACGTCGTGAACATCGTCACTTAAGGGTCAGACAAAGAAAAATAGTGCTTCCAGCTTGGAGAAGCAGGGAGGCCAATACTAGAGGTCGAGTACGCCGCGTTAGTCTGTGCGCAAGCACCGTAGACACACAGCACTAGGGTGCAACGCACGCCAACTGCAATCGGTATCAACAGCTGATCGCGCCCAAATGTAAATGCGCTGAGCGTTTTCTGTGCATACTGCTATAATATTCCGTATTTTGAAAAGGGTGAGTTTATCTCGATCATAGAATATGTTGGAAATCGATCGTATTTCCAGTGATTGAGCTTTTTTCTGCATATTCTCGCATTACGATTCATTTGCTCACTAAATTTGTTCTGCATGTAAAAAAGTGGATATTTTGCTTTTTTTGGTTTCCTTGTGAATTTGCAATGATTCAGTTTTACAAGGTCATTTCTCCTCTACAGACGAAAAAGTTACTAATTTACGTTTGCTTACACAAAAATCCATCTATTAGGCGGCTTGTAAAACTTAAGCTCCCGCGGAAGGCGTACCCCTTTCTTCAATCACAGCAGCACCCGATACTGGCGCCGCTACCGCTAGTTGCCGCATCATTAATACTCTAACGTGCTCTCATACTCTTTAACGTGGGATAAGACGCCAGGGCATACCTATGCAACATACAAATAGAATATACAAATACATACTAATACAAATCGAAGCTTTTTTTCGACAAATGTCGAGCGACTGTTCTGTCTCCACAACATCGAGAATGTCGAGGTTTTGTAGCGCAGTGGCAGTCCCGTCGACAATCACCGAGGGGTTGGATCGCGCGTGCGCGCATAAGCTTTGCGACCACCAATGCATGGTCATGAGCAACATGTACTTTAGTCGGATACGTCGTGAACTCGCTTTCTTTACATCGCGACGTACTTCGGGGGTTCACTATGGGCCTTTATTACAATTGTTCAATGAGAAAGATTTGGGTTTCAAATGGTGCGCTAACAAGAACGTTATATTGCATGTCAATTGTCCAGCCACTTGTCGAGAGCGTGTATGTACATGTAAACGTATATTTACGTTATCTATCCTCTTTGCTCTCCATTCAGAACAATTTTCAGCTTGACATTTGCCCACCTCATGCCGGGCCTTGTTCTCGCTCTTGCAGCGTTTGCTCAGTCACTGCCTTTGTTTTACTTTTTCTTTGAAAAATCGTGCAACGGCATGGTACAAAAAGAATCACTGCGCAGACGTTCGTATGTAGTTAATCCTTTCTTTCTGCGAGGAACAAAATCATGAGGAATCGTTACATTGAAAAAGAAAAGTAACGACATGCGGCATTTACAGGTACTTGAACAGGTTCATCCATTATTATGACTGTAAAAATAGTTTTGTTTTGATATGCAAAACAGCATGAAAATTTAGCTTTTTGCAATTTAGCTATAAACTTTTAGTGATGAGACAGTTTCAAGCTTCTGCTCTCATACACGACAACAGAATTTTCTATCAGCAACAGAGGACAGTTACACACTATGGCTATATTTCCTGAGTATCAGTTTTTCCAATCCAAGTTCAGTTTGCATGCTGTGGTCGATGTAAATGTAAGTGATATGATGATCGGATACATGCAAATTCTTCTACTTAGTCAGCTGCAATAAAAATTGTGTTCTGTGATTGAATTCCCGTATCAAGAGATAGTTCCGCACATTTGCGCCTACAATAAAATCAAGACATCTCGCTTATCTAAACCCTGTCTTGGTTAACAAAATAGAGTATGATGTTTTAGCGAAAGCAAGCTAAGTGTGCAACAGTTTGTGAATGTCCGAAAACCAGGTTTCAAAAATTCTACCTTCGATTCGTTGCGCACAAAGACTGCGGACTTATCGGCGCCTCTGTGATCAAGCGCTCTTTCGTTCCTCTTACCACCTGCTGTCTCTCCCACGCATCAGCTATTTTGGTCGTACGCAATGGCGCCCAGTCTTTGTGCGTTTTGAATCGACGATAGCTCATTTTATGGAAAGTTTAGAAATAAGACGTTCGAGAAAACTACATCTGAAATGGAAACATAAGGTAAGAAATATTCGAGCTCCAGTTCTATTGAGCGAAGGAAAGCTTCATCAATCTGAAGAGATTTATATGTCTAAGAGGGTCTTTTCGCCAGCTTTATTTCTCTTCTATGCAATAGTTTTACTAACGCTGTGCTGCAGAATGTTGATCCTAGCACACAACATGGTCCATATGAAATAAACATATAAGCCGAATCAGTTTCATATATCCTGAAATCATACATTAAAAAATTCCTCAACAATCTCTGATCTTTGCACTACACCTCTGGTAGACAAGCACTGAAGAACCGCATGCTATAAGATCAATAACAGCGATATTGAGCATCAGTATTGAATATCTTTTAAGTTCCTTCGCTGTCTTTCTGATGATTACAAATACGAGGACAAGATTAAAAACGCTTCCGAGTGAGTTTGTTAACATATGGAAAACAAAAAATGCGTTATCCAGGTCCATAATGAATGCAGAATTGACTTCTGCAACAGGAAGGAAACAATCAGTTTACTACTGAACGGAGCTTATTGTTAGATTGACATTTGTAGGTGGCGAATCATTGAGTGGAGTGCATTCAGTCGAACAATCTGATTCTAGAATTACAATTATTGACAAGGAAAGTGAGTGGTAAATGTCAATGGGCAGATAAATTTGGAAAGAGGCCGCATGTATAGGGCGTTCAAAAAATCGTGACGATGGCACGACCGCGCGCGACATGCATCCACATTCGGCAACAGCATTTTTTTAGATTCGATCTCTATTCGAATGGTTTTTTGCTTACGTACGAAAGTATTCAGACAGCTGGAAGTGATTGAGCTGAGCGTTGAGCTGATGTTTTTTGTATGAGTGTTTTATGCCCTTGTGGGCGCAAAGAATTCAAATGCATCGCCACGATTCTATAGATGACCTATAAGACGCTCATTACGAGGCTAATGCGGAAGCTTAGTGCAAAATATCAGCGTCTTACAGAATAATGTATAGGAGAGGCTGCGCAAAATTAGACTTCACTTATGATGTGAATATTGCACTTGAATATGCGAATGCACAATTTTACGATTTTGAGATCATGGATGGTGGATGCCTTTCCTACCTTTCCTCCTTGCCTTTCCTTCCTGCCTTTCCTTTCACTACCTTTCACGCTGAGGGATCGGCAAGAAAACTATGCCTGGGCAAAAGCTACAGGAGACTATTTTTAAATGCCTCTCTTTTCGAATATCTAATCATGGAGCTCATTGTTTGTTATTCACGTCTCATTTATCCATGGTCAATTTTATATGGAAAACTTATGACCGCATTTGAAATTTCAACAGATTTGAAGCCAGACGCAAAGATGAAAATTTATGAGCACATTAGCACAATACAAATGATTAATCTTGTTGTTACAACTCATATACTGAGAATCATTGCGCAATGCTGCATCACGAATAAATCGCAAACAACTACCCATCAAGAGCATCGCTACCTTTGAGAAGAGGAAGATTTGCAATGAAAAAACAAATGGGAAGTTGAATGGATCACCAAACTTATTACCTCTTGATCCGCACCATAATGTTAACGGATGCTCTGAGGAACCCCGCTGAGCAGAAGCAACTTAAATTCTTAAGTAGAACTCTAGTCCACCATCCACGCTATCGTTCTTTTTTTCAGTGCTCGCAAAAAAATAATTTTTGACTATTGTTCAGTCTAATGAATGACTTGAAGGCCCACATGCGAATCCATACACTTTCAAAAAGTCTCGATACAGACGCGGCTTTGTAGGTTAAAAGCCGCATGGACCTATTTGGAGCAGGCTTACTGAACCGACTTGTGCTTTTGTACAGTTGTCCTATATACTGCTCACAGAATGTGCAAAATCTCCGTGAATATCGCGGAATTCCGCGACATTCCGGAAATTCGATTCCCGGGTCTCACGGGATCATGCGAACTAGCAGCACCATAACTCTCTTCAGAATGAATATATTCTGTTCCGAGAAAAGCATTGTACTCAGCTCGTCAAGGCAAACCATTTATTATACAGCATGTCTTCCATTATCCGTTTCTAAAATTTTTCTGATCTTGTTTTTCAAAATTCATTGTTGAATGCATTTAGTGTGCCAGACCTACATGAAACCGATTCAAAGAATTGAGCTTGATCCTATTTTTGTTTCATACATACGCAAGATGGCTAAAATGAGTCAAATCACATGATTTCTGCTATAAAAAAACTCATAACACATCTCTTTTATTTGACTGCAGTACGCGGGTAGATGAAGCAAGAAGCACGAACTAAAGCAGTGAGGAAGTTAGAATGACATCAGAGAAGGCACGTTACCATAACTTCGCCGCCTCTCTTCCTGCTTACGGTTTATGCTCATTGAATTCTTACTGGTTTTGTTGTACAGCTCCGCATCAAATGATATGCTTGAACAAGCATTCTTTTACGGCACTGTGGACGTCATTATAAATGATATTTTGATAAACAACTAGTCTTGAAAGCTAATTGGAATCCCATCATTCAGGCCGCCACTGACTCCTGCTTTTCATAAGTCTTTGATTTCTCAATAGATAATGCCGCCAAATTGAGTTACACAAAACGAAAGGAGACTTTCGTCTACACATAACATCTTCTGAACAAAGAATCTTGTCATGTGTTCTGTTGACGTTGACGCCTTATCACTGTACATCGAATTTTCTTTCAATTTTTCACACACAGGGTTGTGAGTTATGCAGGGTTGCGTCTCTCTAAGGTCGATTAAACTAGTGATTACGCCAAAGAACTTTGCTGTAATGAAAAGTAGCAACTGCAAGGCAGCGCAGATCTAAACTTGAGCTGCTTTGCAGTTGCTAATTCTCCTTCCTATAAAATTATACGTAATTTGAAGAGTCATAATTTTGTCATGTCTTTAGATTCTGAAGCGGCAAGCTACATCTTTTTTGCAGATTCGACTGAATACAATTTAAAAGCTAAAGCGCTACGAAAAACCAAAGGCAATTTTTTTGAATAATTCGAAAAACGCTTAGCGTGTAAAAGTTCTATGTGCCAAACACAGAAGTTCACAATGATAGCCATGCAGGATCTTTTGAAATCTTACAAGTAAATTCGTGTCCATAACGTTGATGCAGAACTGATGCTTGTTCCTATGCTACCGCGGTAGGTGAATGAACTATAGAGCAGAGCAAAGGGTAATCCTTACGAGGCAGCAACTCGCACAATGTTTGATCCATGAAGGAAAAATCCAAAAACCTTCCAGACCCAAAAAATTCATTGTCTTAGAAAAAAGGCCTTGAAACATTGGACTGGCTTGTGCAACTCTGCACATTTATTATGTGGAAACGCCATAATTTTCCTTGCCTAAAATACATAGACTAAACTTGAAATAAAAGATATCTCTGATTTTCATTAACTGCTTACTCGGAAAATGTTTACAGAAGGTTAAAAATTCATGGTTGCCTTGAAAAGTTTTGTAGTGTAGGGTTCTTATGTTAGAATCCAGCATTACTTTGGCAAAGCATACAACTTCCTTTCTCGATTTTTTGCCGTAGAAAAAGTACGGCAACTGCGCATTTGATTGTCCCACGCGGAAAGTGTACCGTACATCCATCGCAATGTTATGAAAGAGTAGCCTCGAGGGACGATGTCTGGGCGAACTGGCGTCTGGAGAAGACATCTAGATGACATAGCCGAAACACAAAGTCAACAAGATACCATAGTAACGAAATGATTTGGCTTAAACATCATATATTATAAATATATTGATATTAAATGCCCAGGTTTGAGGAAAGAACATAGAACTTGGCTTATTCGTATTATGTATGTTTGCTCCAGTCATTTTATTCCACAGGTATAAGAAGCCAATTTCTCTTGATTCAGAATCACGAAAGCCTGAACGTGCTTCGATCAATCGTTTATGCTATTACGGCAAATCTGACTCACTTTCTATACAGAATCTGCCCCCACAATTCTTTACTAATAGGTCCTAGAAATAAAGGTTGCGCTCTCTGTAGCGATGTGTACTCTGCGTGGTGCATTTATTACTGATATTTAGGTTATCTATCTGAACAAGCACATGTAAATTGAGCTTTCATTTTATTCCAAGGTATGAGAAGCATACCTATGGAATAAAATGAAAGCTTTCGTTACCGTCAGTGCTTGTCTGCAGTTGCATGGGGTGCACTTTCGTTTCGTGCTTGCGAGCAGTGAAGCTGCTTCATACTTTTTCATCACTCATAAAAACTTCTGACAGTGACAGTGATCTCGTGATAATATTGGTCCTCAAATCTTTAGCTTATATGGACACTAGCTGGACCAGATGCGGTGCAGGAGGGACCAAAGGCCTGCCGCCCGTAGCCGAAGGGGATAATTAGGAGCGCGAGCGCTCTTTAAAAGATTTTGGCAAGGACCCAGGAGAAATTGGAAAAGACATCCATTAGAAACAAGCCTCTATTAACTTTTAAGGATAATATCATCGACCGATCGATGATTCCTGATACCCGTGCCATATGACGTCATAACCGAGTGGGCGGGCCATGTCTGCCATGCGTCCACCTGGGAGGTCTCACCTCACTCTTGATCACACGTTGACCACTCTAGGTCACAATCTCACGCTCTCGGTTACAGTAATCCCAATAAACCACTGAACCACCATTCTTGTTGTATATTTCACAGTATTACATTGCATACCGAGGCAAAACCCCTCGAAGAGTCTACACCCGCTAATAGCTTGGTGCATCGGCCAAAGTAGCCAATTCTTCCCGCAACAGAGTGTGACAACTCTGTCTGCCTGGAAAAGAGACTAGCTCCTCGAGCAACCACACTCCCGTGCCCAGCACCTGGAGTTACTCCTGTACTAACCGTACCTGGAGACCTTTGCACATTACTGCAAACTCACTCCCGTGCCCCGCACCTGGGAAACTCCTGTACCTACGTACTTGGAGCAGATCACTGTAGATCAAACAACAGCTCATCAGATCTTTGCGCATTTTTGACGCAGATCACCGATTCAAACGCTACAAGCTAAGCAATCGAAATGTCTCTTTTTTGCTACAAAGAGCCAATTTTGATGAGCACAAATTCGCTCAAAAATGTGGTAGTCGCGTACAATGAGTATACGCCTCAAAAAACTTATTCTACCATAAATGAAGAAAACTGTACAGAGTGTGAGAAAAGAATTGCCCTTTTACAAAGTGGCATCAAACTACTGCAACAGGGAAAAGAAGACTTGCAAAAATTGTACGATGCAATCATGGAAGAGTACAAAAATTGCAAAAGTAGATCCGATAAAAAAGAGTTGCAAACCGAAATCGAACAGATAGTTGGAGAAACACAACTACACGTGACTATGGCAAAAGCAAAC